TATTTTCCTACAAAGCTGTTCTCTTTATTTATTCGCAGCCATTTTACGTATATTTCTGCCACGCACGCGCTCAATTCTGCTAAATAGCAGCGAGGACGGCGAATTCCTTACMCAAATTCTATCGGCTCTGTTAGCCGCCAAATCGAACATCATACAAAATTCAATTTGCACCTTCTCTATACTTTAAGTTCTCTGGCTTATCAGTATATCGTCACCTGAAATGCACGAAATAAAATGGAACATGAGTGAAACAAAATTTTAATATTGGTTAAAACTGGTTTATATCTGACCATAGAACATTAAAATGTTGAACATATGTTATATTATGTATGTAGTTTGAAGTAGTGAAACGTAATCAATAAGACAGTAAATTTCGAATTTTTTGATGATATGTTATTTTGCATTTCAGGTGACGATATGTAGATTTTTAACAAGTGACATTTTTTTTTATTCCATTTCGTTCCTTGGTTTCCCTCCTACCGCTTCATTGATATTTTTTCTAGTTTTTTTTTTTTTAGATTTTTAAATTTTTAAATCCAATACCTTGTTCACATTAGACATTATTTTGAAAATTTCATATAGAACATTTATATAACGCTTTTGCATTAAAAATGTATTTATTTTTTGCTAAATTAGTGTGGCAGTTAATATACATATAAACAAATTAATAATTTTAGATCAATAAAAACACGTTATAAATAAATTATTTTCAGAACAAAAATGTACGAAACGTTGGAAAAGTTTGCGTGATAAATTTGCACGTGAGATGAAATTGTGTCAGGAATCTCGCTGGCGTTACTTCAAACAAATGCAATTTCTTGTAGATTCCATAAGGTACTTTGTTGCTCATTTTCATATACCTATGTATGTTTATAAATCTAATAATTTCCTTATCTATTCCATATACTAAATAAACTGGCAGACAATATCGAGAATCTCTCTTAGGCAAATGTAATAATGTACAACAGACCAACAATCAGGTTGCTCAAGTTGATCCAAATCAACAGCAACAGCAGCAAACACAGCAACAAGCTGTAGTGGATGTATTTGCACAACCGTTTAATGGCACCGCCACAACATCAACACAGGCTCTAGCACATCCGCATGGTATGTATCGAATTATTTACAATTTGTAAAATTTGTCCACATAAGTTCAACATAATACTATACACCTAGGTTCACGTTTAGAAATTACAGTTACTGGCGACACTCAGTTAACCGCCGCCTCCAAGGACTCAAAACCGTATTTTTATGAACCAGCACTAAAACGAGAACGTACCGAAGAGGACAATCACGACAATATGCTAAATACTATTAAAATATTTCAAAATTCAATGACTCAAGCAGTTAGCGCTGAGGATCAGTCTTTTGGTATGGTAGTGACCGATATGCTGAACACTTTAGGGGTACGACAGAAGGCCGAGGCAAAAGTACACATTATCAAATATCTTACAGATATGCAGCTCTTGGCGCAACATAATAAATACTAATCAAGGCATATCTTGACATTAAAAATTCCTGAAGTTTGGTGTGTAGTGCAGCGTTTTTAAACTACTATTAAATCGTGTAAACTACATTCCCACGAATTGCTGCCTGCGATACAAGTTTTAATGTGGACAAATAGCAACTTACCAAATAACAAATATACATATGAATTTTTTTTCAGGGCTGACAAACGAAAGGCGGAAAACTAAGTTTTGCACTCAAAGAATAATATAATATAAAAATCTGAAAAAAATTGCATTGTAAAAAATGCGCTTTATTATTTATACTGATAGCCTTAAGTTAATTGAGATACGATCTTCTAAGTATATGCTCCTAAAGAATTTAAAATTATGTATCATATATGTATATTACGTTAAAATGATCTGCCATTATACGGTAATGGCATAAATTTACACTAGAATTTGTTGTAAAAATTAAATGGATTAAACTAAATTATTTTAATAAATTAGCAACAAGCCAAATTTTTCAAACAAGTTTATACGGAAAAAATGAATTGTCTCAGACTATGTTTTTGACAGAATGTAGTTTTCTTACGCAGGCAACGGTGGGAATATGGCCTTTTTCAAAAGCAGCACAATTTTTTTCAACTACATATGAACGCATATTACCATATGTTGGTGTAATGTACAATGTTTAAGTAAACATAGTTTACATTCCGCTCTAGTATGTTGGCCGGTTGATTATTCTTCCAAACTTTTTACACACCCGGTTAACCGGGGCATCACTTTTAGTTGAGTTACTTTATATCTGAAAATCTTCAAAAAGTTACAGATGTTGTATAGGCACTAATCATTTTACAAGAGCGAACTTATTTTTAAAAATAATATGAAAAAGACCACAACAAGCGAGTTGATTAGTGGTGGCGCGGATTTTAACCCCGGTGGATCACTCGAAATTAGCATGATAAGCCATTGCTTTATTATTCAGTAGAAATATTAATTTCTAATCGAAGTATTTCGCTGCTGTAGTAGTCATTGATATTGTCTCGTGGTTCCAGACATAAATTTTTTGGTCACCCCTGATTTATATACTCAATGATAAACAAGAGTATGTTTGTTAGGAGAGTACTAATAAATTTTATTATCTTTCCAATTTGTATAAGTAATACGATTGAATAACAAATATTAAACTAAAATTTTTTCAATTTACTTAGTTGATTGTTCCGTCTGAGACCCTGCTTCCGAAGACGTCGCCAATATTGCTTTGTTTCTGGGTCGATTTCCTCTACAGGTATTATACGATCAACATTTACAGACCACAACCAGTCAGGATATGCCGAATCAGCTTTAAGCTAATATCAACAGTCAACAAATATTTATACTCAAATATTGTGGGTACATACCTTAATATCCTCACCGGTTTTTAAGATGTTGCTTCCACAAACATAACTGACTAGTTTATTAGCATCGGTCTCAACAGGGATTTCTTTTTTTTCTATTACTGGACCAAGCTTTCCTAGTTTCTTCTTTTTCCCTCCAATTGCAGCTGAAATATGATATTATTTAATATTAAACAGGACAACAGCAGTCAGATATTACCCACCAGACGCTGGCTTCGCATACGATCGCCATAATGATTGGGTTATCAAATTTTGCCGTAAAGCGTATATTGATTTTGTGAAAATATTAACATTCATTTTTAATTTTACAAATTCTAGCTGAGATACTAAATAACATGGGTATAGCACCAATAATAGGATCTGAGCAGTTGGAATTGTATAACCTTAATTATATCAATCAGCTGATTATCAGATATAGTGCTACCATTAAAAAATAATTTATTTAATATTATGAAGGAGTTGAGTCGTATTCTCCTCTGCAAGGATTACAGAGTTGAAAATTTTCATCTTCTAAAAGTGAGTTAAAAGAGGTAAATGTTCAGGACAGCTCCTTTCCGAAAACGTGCACCAATTTTCACGGGAAATGTCGTAAAATTCGTGTTTTTAATTCCAATTTACGAATTACCATATTGGCAACTTGTGATTACAGCTGATTCAACCGAAAAAATAGAAAAAAAGTAATCCATATCGCTGAATTCTATAAAAATAATATTGTACAATGAAATAACCAGATTTTAAATTCCAATCATGCGATTTCCCTCAAATAAAACACTAGGAAAAATTGCTGTTTATGGAGCATTTGCCTCCATTACGGCTGTAATGTACATGCGTTATAAAATTGAAGATAACATTAGAAACTCTGAATATTTCCGAATAGCACTAAAAACCCTAAGGCAACACAAGGGTATGTATCATGGTTTTATAGCTAACATATTATAACATGTAATTCCAGGTGCGTCGAGTTTGCTTGGTGAACCAATTAAAGAGCTTGGATTTGATTTAAGTAACAGCAGCAATTTTTCTGATGGGCAAATTGCCCAGTTTATGGTTCATGTAAAAGGTGTTAAAGATAAAGGTATTCAATTAAAATTACGAAAATTGGCAAATGATTACAAACTTATTTTTTAGGTAAAATGTATTTCTGGGCGAATCGGACACCTGATTCGGGCTGGTTCATCGATCGCTTAGAATTAGAGTTGCGCTCCCAACCTGATAAACGTTTTCTTATAAAAAAATCTGAAACAATGAAAACCCCATTCAACGATTAAGTTGTACATTACAACAATTTTCTTCATTACTTTAATGTGCTCCTTAGGTGCTCAGGGGGTATTCATAGAGATCGCTTAAATCGGAACCGAGCACATAGTTGGCAAAAGAGAGGAATCTGCTTCAAAAAATTATTAAAAAATATGTATGAATTTTAAGAATATATTTTTAAGCATAGACTAGTTAATAACGTTTGATAAATGTCAATTGTTTCAGAAAAAAAGTTTGCTAAATTAAATTTTACTATTCCCATCATGTTTCATGTATTTCATATCTTTATTTTTATCAAATAGGCAGAGTATCAATGCATTTGGTTTTAATAAATAAAAATAGCTTCGATATTTTACTGATTAAATTTTTTACTAATATATTGCAAAAGTGATTTTGACTTCTTTGCGACACAGTAAAGTAGGAGAGCGACCAACGTTCATATATACATGTATGCCGTCAAGATTTCAAAATTACTAAATCTTCATGTTGTCGAAAAAGTCCAAATTTGTTTCTTACTAAAACCTACCTTAATACATTACTTTACGCATTTTCCGCATTCAAAGGCAAAGGCGATAATGGTGTGTGAATTGCTCCAAAATATAGCTCTCTTATGCTCCATTCATAATAACAGTCACCATATATATATATATATATATATATTACATATTTATTTATAACTCTTTTGAGAGTGTTGGTTTTATTGAAAATTTTACAAAATTCCATATTTCAATTATGAAAAGAGTTTTATTTTTTCATTTAAATTATCATCATGTGATTAATAGGATTACACATACAAGGAGTTTCTGTAATTTTTAAACTCTCGATTTAAATCTATTATTTTTTAAACCCGTTTAATTTGTAGATTTTTGAATTTAGATCTTTTATGAATGCTATAAGAAGATTGAATGGGCAATCCGAAATTTAATATTTTAATTCTTATATGTCGGTATTCCTCTCACAGTTTTCTCCGCCCTCAATATCTCCCGAACCTTATTGCGTTTTTAATTCTTTACCAATACTGTACGTTACTATTTTTCCCCAGTCAATTTTAGTTCTAGTAATTGGTAAAAGACGACGCATCGCTTTGAAGGTAGTATCAGACATTGTTTGGTAGTTTTCTGAAATCGCTAATTGATATTCATTTTCAGCTTCTTCAATCAAACGTATAACTTCCTTGGCCACTTGCTGCTCATTAGATACAACCACTGATTCCCTGAACTCCTTGGTTGAAACAAGTTGGACGTTGCCGTCTTCATAGTAATGAACCTATAACCCGAAAAATGTATAAACAATCATATAATTGAGGTTTCGTTTAAAGCACTCTACATATTTATGTATATTTAACTAGGCATCAAATGAAAGTTTAAATATATTACATACTGACGACCTCAAAGCATTCATTTACTTCCTCCATTTTCGGGTAAGAATAAATTTATAAAGCAAGTCATGAAGACGTACCGTTATGTAAATAAACATTTGGAATAAAATTTATAATTTTAGTTTTGCTTTATTTCTTTCAAAATAAAACTGAATTTTATTAAGAAGTAAATTATGCGAAGAAAGGTTGCTGAAAACCCTGAAATTCCATCGATGGAGTTGATCGAAAGATTTGGTTTGGATGTTACCATTAGAACACCAACGTGCAGTAAGGTGCAAATAGAATTTACTAATTTTACTATTTTAAACCAAACGTATTGTATTGTTCAAAGTTTATAATTTTATTTGACGACCTCTTTTTAAATAGTTTTTATTTTGAAGTGAAACTAGATTTTTTTCTTTCTATAATTTGTTGTTTAAATGCATACAGAAATGTGTTATTAATGCATGAATTACTAATTATTTATTTTAACAAATCAGTATTGAAATAACGCCTGAGAAATTTATACTTTCAATTGATGCTTAGAGTAAATATAAGCTTTTTTTTAAGGAAAAGCAAATGAAAACTTTCCTTATTTCAATAAATTCTGCAGATAAGAGTAAACATTCTAAAAATGGATATCTTTCATAATTCCATGGCTTGGGACAGTATAGATGTTTAAATATTAGGTTGTCAAAAAAGTCTTACGGGATTTCTAGCGGTATTTTTATTGAATTTTCAATTGTTCATACAATTTTTTTGATGACTACGGCTGCTACTATGCCGGTCTCTTTTGACCAATTCAGCGATTTCATCGCAATTTTCGACGAC